CTTTTCACAAGAATCCTGAAAGAAACGTTCTTTTTATTTTGCAAATGTACTGAGCTAAACTGAGCATATGTGGTAACAAGAGTACCTTCTATCATATATAAGTGAACCTCACTGACTCGGATTAAAAAGTAATGAATATGGTGTTGAAAATGAGATACTTAATTGGCATCTCTGAAATCTTTGTGCTTAGGAAGCCCAGTTGACAGTAAGAAGTCTTTCTTATAGATCTCTAATCTCAAACTGATATTGATTAATTTTAACTTTTATGTTCTAGCTTCTTGCCCCAAGATTGCTATGACTTCTGGGTCACGGTCACCTACATTTTATCATGATGGTATTAATCGTTATTTTGAAGATCTTTTCTGAGGACTGTTAGTATCCCCCCCCCCTTTTGGGCCCAAGGATATGCCATGAGATATATACCATAATGCTAGCAGAGGATAATATTTCATGCATCTGACACAAGACACGGAGGATTGCCTCAATGAACTCATCTAAGTATGAACAAAGCTGTTCCAAGTATAGGATGCGTTTGAAGCTCCAAAAGGAACCTCCCCCTTGAACTTAACCACAGTTGACAGACACAGGACCACTGACAAGGCCTGCTTTCATAACCCCATTAGCTGCAAATTGGGCTAATTTTAAATATGACTCAGTGTTCTAAGAGGAATTTCAACCCAATCTAACCAAAACTTATTTCCTCTCCTAGCTTGCCTCTTACCTCAAGGAGAGTAGTTGATGGGTTCTTACACCAGCTATAACGTTTGAGGGGATGAGACAGAAATAGACCTAGAAGAATCTGCAAGGCTCCTATCTTAACTTACCTCACGTAAAGCAATAAGGAAACCACCATACAGGGGTGGGCTGCTGGGGGTTTGCATGGGTTCGGGAGAATGTCTTGTTAAGATTCTGTGCAGTTTGGAGAACCACTCCCCCACATCCCACTCCTGCCTGGCACCGCCCACCCCACCCTGCCCCTCCCAGAAGCCCCAATGTGGCCCCTTTTGGATGCAGGTCAGAGGTGGGTTGCTGCTGGTTCGGCTTGGATCAGGCGAACTGGTAGCAGTGGTGGTGGGAGGATCCACCCAGACATTTCTGCATACGGGCAAAAGCACTGCACGTGCGAGCACAGGTGGGAGCACACCTGAACTGATAGTAAAAAAATTAACAACTCACCTTTAATGCAGGTAAGTGCAGGGCGCATACGGAGGCTCAGGGAAGGTGAAAAATGGGCCTACTGGAAGTTCATGAAGGCTGGAAACTGGTCCATTTCTGGCCTCCAGAGGGCCTCTGGAACCTGGGGAGGCCGTTTTCGCCCTCCTGGAGGCTCTGGGAAAACCTCCAGAGCCCAGGGAGAGCAAAAACACTCCCCCTGCAGTGGTGCAGGAGGCCAACTAGGCCACGCCCACCATGGCCATATCCACCCAGCAACCAGACAGAGAACCCCTTGCTAAAATTTTTGAAGCCCACCTCTGCCATAGACGTCATCAAATAATCATCAGTAATTCAAGGTTACAAATTTTATGCTAGAATGGCTTTCTTCTGACTTCAGATATAAATGGGGGCCATTTCAACAGGCTAATACAAGGTTGCTAGGAGTACAAAAAAACCAAACCTGATTTATTAACTAAAATAAAACTCAGGTGAAGCATTGCTGTGTTAATGCAAACTTTCCAGTAACATTCTTAGCTGAAATCTGTCTAACTTAAGTTTACAATTATACAAGGATTTTGAGACAGTTTGAAACCAACTTATTGCATTTCTCCTTATGTCAGTGATGGTGGAGAGCTGAGCTGATTTATTTCTGTCTGCAGTGTAGTTGAAACTACTGTGAAATGATGGTAGCTGGGGTTTATTTATTTAGTAAATTTATATGGCTGTCCAGCACACTTACTGAGTGTCTAACATCCAGTTAAAAAAACAACGATAACAAGCGGGGGGTTGGGGGGTTGGCCAGCTTTACTGCTGGATTGCTTGTGCGCACGCTTGATGCACTCTGCACACCCATGTGCAGGTCAATTAAAATTGTTCTGCGCATACACAGAACTTAAAACAAGATGGTAGCATCAACAGCACCAACTGGAGAACTGGTTCTGGGGCATGGTAGGTCTGGGTAACTTCCGGTTCCAGTGACCCACACCCCCATACCACTACTGGTTCAGCCGAACAGGTAAGAAACCACCTCTGGTAACAAGAATATAAAAACTCTTCATTCATCTATTTATACAAATGTGTATGTATGCCTTTAAGTCACCCAGCTGGCTTTGTGCCTAAGACAGGGCTAGTACCTCATACAGCCAGTTTTCAAGGGGCTTATTTAGCTGTATGTCAGGCCTGGAAGCCATCTTTTGCATTGGGCCTTCAGACCTGCCACATTTACTACTATGGGAAATTGGGAGGGGGGATTATACGGAGTGGGACAGATGTAGTCAAAATAACATTCCTTTCTCACAGAGTCAAGGACATTTTGCCCTGCACCTGGAGCGGTGTGACTGGGAGGCATCTCCAGTTGGGGTGGTGAAAGATTGAACCATGTGATGGACATGTGGGTGCTGGGCAGGGACTTTAACTTTTGTTTGGATGGGAAAAACCTGGACATTTTCAGATTCAGGTTTTCCCAGATGTGCCAATATGACATCTCTAATAAAATGGAACTTTGAGGAACCTCAAACCTCGGAGTCTTCTTTCGTTGGGGGTGTTACTTGGAACCCTGACACTTTATGTGTGTCTGTACACCAGTGGTGGGTTTCACCTCTTCTGTAGGTGTGGCCTGATTTGTGGGAATGGCTTGCTGGCCATGTGACCGGGTGGGAGTGGCTTGCTACCATGTGACCGAATGGGAGTGGCTTGGCAGTCATGTGATTGGGTGGGTGTGGCCAACTTGTAAAATGTGGTGAAACTCACTTAACAATGCTCCTGCTTAGCAACCAAAATGTTGGCTCAGAAACTGGCATTTGAAGCATGCAAGTCTTAAAGCTGTCAAGTTACAAAACCCTTGCACCCCTAACCCTTTAGAAAAAAAACTCCAGGGGTGTTCAAACTTGACAGCTTTAAGACTTTAAGGTTGAGATAGGACTCTTAGAGGCGGGCGGGGTGATTGGTGAGCCAGCCAATCAGTGAGCAGCGGATAGGGCAAGCATGGTGCGGACGGGCAGGGGGAGGGAGCTGGAACCGGTTCTAAATGGCACGGTAGATTTGTGGAACCGCTTCTATAGAAGAGGTTAGAACTGGCAGGAACCCACCCCTGCTGTACACGTACACCTAAATAAGCCTTGAAAACCAGTTCACCTAACATCCTTCTGAGGTAAACATCAAGTCCTCAGTGCCATATGAAATGCCAGAAGTGTTGGGGCTATCAAGATGTCAGTTGCAATGGCAGAAAAAGCATCTCCTCAGACTCACCACATTATGTTATTTAACGGAGAGAAGATGGCGCACCCCTATCTTATCAGAACTTGTAGGGCAGGCCAAAATAATTCGATATAGGTGACCTACTAATCACCTGACCTGTGCTATAAAGGACTTCATAGCAGTGGTGGGATTCAGCCAGTTCGCACCTATTTGGGAGAACTGGTTGTTAACTTTCTAAGCAGTTCGGAGAACCAGTTGATGGAAGAAATCTTCTTTTGTTTTTTTCCACTTTACAGGGCTGAACCCTGTAAAGGAAGGCAGGAAGGAAGCATTCTGGAGTTGTTTCTAGCCTAATCTTTATTGCCCTGCTTTATTGCCCTGCCTCCAGTTAACCCTTATTACATTGTAACAGTTGATGCGAAGCGCCCATTGACGTGAGTGACGTTGAGTTGGCCACGCCCACTCAGTCACATGATCACCGAGCCATGCCTAACCAACTGGTCATTAGGACAGAGAACCGGTTGTTAAATTATTTGAATCCCACCACTGCTTCATAGGTAATAGCCAGCACCTTGAATTGCATCTGGAAGTTTATTGGGAGCTAGTGAAGCTTCCAAAGTAGTAGTGCTCTCAAAGTGTGTCCATCAGTATCTGTGTTATCTGGTTTAGAGGCAGCTGCAGCTTCAGATTAGTCTTTGGGGTAGCTCTCTTGTACAGCATGTCATAATCCAGGCAGGACATGAGACATGAGCGACTACAAGCAGGGCCTCCCAATCCAGGAATGTGCCCAGTTGGCCAAAGATGGAGTTGTGTAAAGGATCTCCTAGCCATGTCTAACACCTGCTCTATGAGCAGGAGACGAAAGTCTAGGGGGCAGCCCAGGCTGCATACCAACTCCATGGGGTGGTGGGCTGGGGTTTCTACTCCATGCAGGATTAATTGCAGAAAATAAATCAAACCTTAAAACCCCCAGCCGCTTGATTTTAATAAGGTTGAGCCTTGTCCTGTTCTTCTTACCCACACTTAGGGCACGTCAAATTGTTCAGATTTTAATTTGCAAACATATGGGGTGCTCAAAAGTTGTGACATGCCTTTGGGATTGTAAAGATATTTTTGGTTGCTTTAATATAATTTAGATATGTTTGGTAAGTAACTACATAAGTATCATAACTTTTTAACATTTTGTTTGTTCCCTACACCTTGAGAATAAAAAAGTCTCAATAGCATCACAGCACAAGAATTAAAGAGTTACTTTTTTTTGTTAATGAGAACTTAATTCTTCAACCCTCAACAGTTACGGTTACATAAATGCACATTACTGTTCAGATCATCCCTTTCCAATTTAAGAAATTGTTTTGCTGCAGCAAGTCCAAGGAAGACACTAGAGAAACCGATGCTGTCATAAATTTGCTAAAAGTTTCGGAGTAGAAAAGCACAGTTGTTTCTAGACAAAAATCTTGCTTCCAACTCATCTGTAGGGAACATGAAACTTCGCTATCTCAGATTCCTGTTAATAAATCCCATGAAAGAAAAACAAAACATTATTCATTGGCTGCATTCCTTCTTTATGTTAATCTGGATGACTTTACATATCCCCTCCCAGAGTCCTGCCTCTCTTAAGTTCCTCTCCAGTGTGAACTGTCAGGAAAGCAGCTTCCTTTCACAGACGCTCCTACAGGTTTTTCCTTCTGGTCTTAGAACGTGGGGTTTCCTGCAGTTTCAATTCAGGAGAAACTGCTTCGGGCTTCAGGAAAAAAAAAATTGCGACAGAGCTAAATACGAACAGGAGTAAAGATACATTTGCCAGGGTGACTTCCATAACTGCTGCTGTTGCTCGCGAAGAGTCTGCACGGAGAAAAAGAAAGCAATATTAATATTGCAGAATTCTGTGGAAGGTTTTGACAGCTCTATGGATCTTGATTATGAGAACCCAGCAAACCACTGCTGTAAAAGTAAATGATGTGCTTTCAGATATAAGAGTTTTGTGCACAAAAAGTACCTTTTCTTTGACCATTAGCTTTGAACATCAAATGAAGGACACGCTTCATTTCAAAAAAAGAAGAACCACGTGGACCATGGACCAAACTGGAAACCCCTTAACTGACATCTATGTGTTCCACAGCTTTGGCTGCAACAGACACAAAGATGAAGGTAAATCCATTGTTTCCTGAAATTAATGTGATTAATTTGTTGCTTTAATTGCTATTAAAAGCAAACGTTTTTTAAAAATCCCAGGTGAATTCAGGGTTATTTTACTACTACTTTTAATCTATGTCAGGCTGATTAAATGTCCCTAAAATTAAATCTATGTCTCAGTTTTCCCAAGGCCGAAGGCTTCTTCCTGGGTTCATTTTAACAATCACTGTTATACTTTTGGGAGAAAAATAATTCCAAAGACTAAAACCAGTAGAGTTCTTAGGATTTCTTTGAAATCATAGAATGCTTCTTTACTTTGAAAGGGAAAAAACCAACTAAATGTGTCTTCAACCTTGTTTTCGTTGATCAGTTTTCCTTGGAAAAATACTTTCTGATCAAATTACAGAAATTGTGAGAAATAAAAGACAAAAATCTGCAGGACAGTTGAACATTTTGTCATAAACATATTTTATGTACACATAGAACATTGCAAATGCAAGTTGCCAAGATAGGTGGCATTGCTTGCTAGTGTTTGGAAGATAGTGTCTTGGAAAAGACCTATGGATAATTGAAGATGTACTGTAACTATCTGGAAGATGCTAGGATAGAGAAACCTCTGTTACCTTGGCTATTTTGTCATAAATTCTGCAATGAAAAATTCACTTGGAGTAGAATTTGGTCCCATCCCTGGTCAAGAAATTCATCTGTAAATCAAATAGCAAGTATAGGCTATTACACTGGAATATTCATAATAAACTCTCCAAACACAAATCATGATGATGTCATGAACATAATTACATCACGTGTTTCTCCTGTAATGGACTGTGGGATGACATTGGAGAAAAGGGGAATGAGATGCTGGGTACTCAGACAAGAGAAGCAGGAGCCCCCAACAGCTTAAAAGTCAGAAGTAGAAAGGATCTGCCCCATTGGTGGGATTCAGCCAGTTCTCACCTATTCGGGAGAACCGGTTGGTAACTTTCTAAGCAGTTCGGAGAACCGGTTGTTGGAAGAAATCTTTTGGTTTTTTCCCACTTTACAGGGCTAATCCTGTAAGGAAGGCAGGAAGGAAACATTCTGGTGTTGTTTCTAGCCTAATCTTTACAGAAGATCTAATCTGCCCTACTTACAGAAACTGCCTCTCCTGTTAACCCTTATTACCATTGTAACAACTAAAGTGAAGTGCCCATTGACCTGAGTGACATTGACTTGGCCACGCCCACATGATCACATGACCACCGAACCCCGCCTACCCAGCTGGTCATTAGGGCAGAGAACTGGTTGGTAAATTATTTGAATCCCACCACTGATCTGCCCCAATGGATCAGTTAAAAGTGATGGTGGAAACTTTGTACTTTCAGACTTGAAGAATTCTGTTAATGTAGCTTTACAATAAAGTAGAAATTAGTTTTATTATTTCCTGTCTGGTTTACTTGGAAAGGCTGACACGCCTCTCCCCTTAGTGCTTTTGTATCCATACTAAATATAATAATAGGAACACAGTGACAACATATTCCATGTGCCCCTCCGCAATACCTTCCAGATGTTCTGAAATTCAATATCAGTTATTGGTACGTCCATCTGAACGGATAATAGCATTGTCCATTTGGACTCTTCCATTCCATACTGGAATTGCAATCTTGAGCATCTGTAAGGCACCAAGCTGTTTTTGATAAATCCATTTCCCTAAAGATTGTTCACACACACACACATACACATACACACCTCCAAAGGGCATCGGGAAACAACAATAATGAGTGTAAAATATTGAAAAATATTGAGAAATCTAACCTTAGAAGTGTGCCATCTAGTGGCATTATTGAAAATCAAAGAAAAACAACATTATTGCTTATGTTTTAAGATGGTTTTCTTTTTGGGTGGAAATAGTAAGGTTTTATATTGTGAGTATATGTTTATAAAGTGAATTCCAGATATGGAGTTACTTAGAGTGGATTCATTGAAATCCCGGAGATTTAATTCAAGTCACAACATCATTTAACCACTTCAATAATGTAGCTTATACAAATCACAATTCTTTATATCTCATCACAATTCTTTATATCTCATAAATAATCAGTCAAATCCAATTAAATCAACCAGAGGGTTATCCAAACCTCCTCAAATCACCTTTGTGAATTCAATCATATAACATAACACTCAGGAGTCTTTTAATTGAAGATCTTATTTAAATATTCAAGTCTCCAATAATCTTAGGGTAGTTGTATGTAATCCAATAAGTGTTTTCACAGTCCTTTAAGTGGTTATTCTCAGACTGATTATTTATGAGATATAAAGAATTGTGATTTGTATAAGCTCAGCTTTAAATCAATGGTTCCTGGACTTTTGGTTAAAAGTGGGCTCTACTAAAATAATGTAGACTGCATTCAGATTCACTTAATTTGTAATTTAATTGGAGGTTGGGGGTGGCACAAGGGTGGCAACATTATAACCTTGAATGTAAAAATGGGAGATGTCTACTTGTGCTAAAGCATATTTTACCAGAAGAAATGTTGAACATACAATATGTCATTTTGTTTTATTGAGTTGTATATTTATTACTGTTTTAGATGCTGCTCTATTCCAAAATGCCTTTAAGCAACACTTGACAAAAATAAAGTTTTAAAACCTCTGAATAGTGATAAATAATATATATCACAATAGCCCCACCCTCTTCCCAAAGTTGAGCAGCTAGTTATTGCTGGTTCACCCCGTAGTGTGGGTTCAATGTATTTTTAAATTATATTTACAAAGAATGATGTACAAATCCACCCCTTATAGACCATCGGTATCTATGAAAGAGGGCAATATGGCTTATTCAACAAACTATATTTGAAAAAACCCTGACTTAACATGATGCTAAAAGAAGCCAATGTTGGTAGATTCTGTGAGTGAAGCAGAGCTGAAATGAACACACTGAAATAGTAGTATGGTCTTTATTGTCATTGTACAAAATAAATACCATGAATAAATAAATTTCTATTTATTGCAACAAGAAGTTAGGAATTGTGTGAGTTTCCTTGAGAATGGTAGCTTGGTTCTTGATGATTTCTCCAAAGGTTTGGTGAATGGTGACCACTGAGCCTATGGTGAGGACAATGTAGGCTCTGATTTTCTTAATCTTAATCTTAATCTGATTTTGAACATCTGATTTTACGCTGAGTTGGAGGATATTAGGTTTAACATTATTTTTCATTATTTAACCATCTTAAATAATTTGCCCATGTCCATAAGTTCAAGTAGGAAGAGCTGCTTTCTAAGCAAAAAAAAAGACATTCAGAAGCAATCATAGAAGACCGAAGCAAATGATTAATGTCAACATCTCCCATATGTTGCAATGTGCAGTTTTAATTCTGGGGAGGTCCGCGGAATGCTTCAAACTCAGTTTGGAAGATGTCCTTCAGGACAGATAGAAGTACTCCTTTCAAACTCAGGGATTACATACTGTAGATCTTACACTGAGGTTTTCAAAGGACTTTTATAACTTCAGAGATTTAGAACATGGGCCTCAGTGGTGGGTTTCAAAAAAAATTGGAACCTCTTCTGTAGGTGTGGCCTGCTTTCTGGGTCCACTGGTGGAACCTCTTTTTTTTTTTTTATAAATGTTTTTTAATTTTAATTTAAAACAGGTACAGCATCTTTCTTTACAGGTGGAACCTCTTCTACTGAACTGGTGTGAACTGGTAGGGACTCACCTCTGATGGGCCTTCACCACTAACAACTGATTCATCAGCCACAACTTGTTTTATATATATATATATATATATATATCATTTGTGCTGATAAATAAATAAGGGGAGACTAGTATAGATCTATTTCAAGCTATTTAGCTCTCATCAGCTAGCCATACCCTTAGTGGGAATCGAACCTGGGCTGTATTACATATCAGGCAATTATATTAGCCACTAAGCCACTAAGCCACAGGATCTCTTCCTTTATCAGCTATATATATTTACTTTATATATATTTACTTATATGATGCTGCTTCAGGTGACATTTTTAAACCAAAGAGAGGATTTCATATATTTTTTAAAATGTAACAAGAGAAAGAAACTTTGCTAAGAATATTATAGTACCATTTTAAGTCATTTGCCATATCATTCTAACTTTTTCACACACTGAGGAATTAGAATCTTTTGAACATTATTATGGAGGTCCATGAAATTTTGTTGTTGCAGACAGTGGACATCCCTCAAATTGCTTAACTGGATTTTAGAGGCACAGTTGGCTAAAATTAGAAACACGATCCTTGGTATGTTGAGTCAAGAAGCATGCAAAAATTGCAGTGCACCACCTAAAATAAATTTTAAAACCAAAACAAATCCAACTGTCTGAAAAAAATTTAAAATATGATCTCCCTTTCATAACTGGCATAACTGAAACAATCTGAAATCAGTCCAAATTGTTGAACACTTCATTACGATGCTTTCCCCTAGTCTCCTGCACAACGTTTGTCTTAATCTGTGCCATATTTTAATACGTTCTTGAAATTCTGCTTGGTGTCATTGGGATGACTATAGAATTTTTGCACTTCCCAGTCTTCCATATTTGCTAAAGGCTGGCACCAGTAGCATTGTAACAGAATATGGAATTACAGAGTTGGAGGTCTTCTAGCCCAACCTCCTGATCAAGCAGGAGATCCTATATCAGTGATGGTGAACCTTTTTTGGCTCGCGTGCCATAAGTGGGGGGAGCACAGGGGGGTCATGTACGGGCGTGCTGCACCCATATGTGCAACCCCCCAGTGCACATGCGCGCACTACAGGCACGACCCCTTTTTTTTTGCATGCTTTTTTCACCCCCCAGGCTCCAGAGGCTTTATAGGAACCTGTGGAGGGCGAAAACAGCCTCCCCCACCCCCCCACCTCCCCGGAAGCCCTCCAGAGGCTTCAGGGACCTTCAGGAGGCTTCCTTTGGAGCACTTAAAATGACCCTCCGAACAAACCGGAAGTGATTTCCTGTTTGCTCGGAGCATCATTTTAACTGCTCCGGAGGCTTCAGGAACCTTCAGGAGGCTT